AGCGCCACATTAAATACGCACTACAATGACAATAGTTTTAAGCGATTTGAAGCATGTTTTATATATATATTTTGGGGGGGGGCATAGCTTTCTGACGTCATATTTGATGGGGGGGGGGTCTGACTTTTTGTGACACCGTGTGACGAGAGGGGGGGGGGTGTAAAAAATCGTCCAAAATCGCGTGACGTCATTTATGGACGGCCCCTTAGCCATGCAGCTTTGTCAGCCTGGGCCCTTCCCACCGTCGTTCCACACTCCACTCCCCTCCACGGCAACAGGGACATTTGTTGTACTTTAAAAAAAATCAAGGTTTGTTTAATCCATTATCAGAATAGTTAACACTATCCTGAGCTAAAGTATATTTTTTGGCTTTTTTTTTTAAACGAAACTCTGAAGTTGATCGGAATTGGTTTAGGGTCATTCAGCGCATATATTTTTTTCAGGTTGACTCAATCAATTGGGAATCCAGTTTAATCGTCCGTGGATAAAACTGACGATTTGAATCCCGGATCTCAAACATTGTCCAGACATGGTATGAGCCCCTTGAGCCATGCGGTTCGGTGCTTTTAAGGGCACGTTCACAAACATTACTAAGGAGCCACAATAAAAGTCTGCAAATAGCAACCAAATCCAAGGACAGATTTTTTTTACAAAAAAATTATTACGAAATATTTGCCAGTTTTTGAGGTGCACAGTACAGTGCTTCAACAACGATATCACAATTGAGCATATCCAAAGACTCGTATATTATCCACGACATACATAAACCAGTATGATTATTGATATAACACTGTGTAACGCAAAAGAATGTTTCTGTTCCTGGGTAGTAAGTGTTATTTCCTAATAGCTTATATCTCAAAAGTACAGAAAATGGCTATTATTCCCCACAAACTTTGATTTTGTGACCAGGACAGTGATATTTTGAAATTTACCTATTTTCAAAGAGAAAACGTGGTGTGCGTTTGTGTCAGTCCTTCACGTAAAGTCCTGGACACAAGAGAAAAGTTTGTGGGGAATAATAATAGCCATTTTCTTTAGTTTTTAGGCATAAGCAATTCAACAATAACACTTAGTACCCAGGAACAAAAATTGTGTTACATAGTATCATTAGAGGGCGAATATGTATGTACGGTGAACGTCTCTCGCAGATCGTACGTAGCCAACCGTGCTAACCGGAGGTGCGGGAAATGTAACTGTATTGGTATGAAAAGGGTAACTTCCCCAGCTTCTAAATGTAAACTCGGCGTATGATTAAGACGTTGATCCTGCACCGCACAGGATCTTCCTCTCCTCTGTTGCCTCCGACCGACGGTCTCTCTCTTCTCAATAATGACGCGTCTTTATTCGCACTTACGAGAATAATGTCATCTCAATCCCCCCCACCCCACCCACCCACTGATTAACATCACCATCAAATCTGGCTGTAATTAAACAAAATCATCATACCCAAAAAATTACCCTCTTCTGTAAACCTCCACGGGAAGCGCGCACACTTCCCTTTGAACGCCGAGATGTCGTCACGTTGAAACAATGCGTACAATCATTGGCAATGTGTCTTAAATACAGCTATTTCTGTAAATCATCATTTTAACCTCTATCAAAACAGGAGAATGCGCGCGGGATGGACACAATTAGATTTAACGGCACGCACAAATGTGTTGCTGCTCACAAACAGTGTGACAGCACGTGTCACGTGACCACAACATTGCATGTGACGTGCTCTCAGCTTTGTCTAGACCACCAACTCCAGAGATTGAACACACCAAGGTGCGCTGCTGCTCACAATCAACGTGAGGGCACGTGGCTCCCACCCATATGCCTTGCGTGTACAATACTAGCCTCATGTAAGCCACGATCTCGGAAGAGCCGAACGTTCTTTCAGTTTAGGTGTCGAAAAACATGGCCTTCACAAGGGGTGTCGGTGAAACGAAGAGTCGCTGACGACTCGAGGAGGAGTCGGTTGGTCGGAGAGTGCGTCCACGTGCGGCTGATGAACCCAGCGGTGTGCAAGTACAGACACTTACACGCGCGCTCACGCACGCGCAGCGCTGCGTAATTGTACGATCCACTGTTCGAAGATGGGGCGACATTAAAACGGCTGAAATAGGAGTCTCGCGTTCAGCACAAACCCCGACTGAAAGGAGAGCCGCGTGTTCCTGATGAGCCAATAACTCCCCCCCCCACGTCCCATCTCCCTCTAAAAGGTCCACGCATCGGATACGATCATCACCACCACCATCACCATCATCATCAGTTCACGTGCAACGTTCGCAACAAGTTGCCCTACGACGCAAAACACCGCAGGTGACATTCGATCTGGGGGCCGCTGCACGGCTCTCCGAGGCGGGGCTCTTCGGCTCTCGCATCGGCGCGAAGGGCCGACGTGTTGAAGCGTTTCTCAGCGCCCGGGCATGTGCGGCAAAACGTCGGACACCGTCGCCCGGCAACACGCCGGTGCTGCAAGCCGAAGGCGCGTCGGACGACTCTGGCACGCGTGGGGCTTTTACCGACGGGTGCCAATATCGTCAAAGGTCAGCGCCGCGTGCGTGGGTCACGGTACATTCATTGGCAAGGGCAAAATATTGACCTCAAAGCAGTCGCTCTTGAAATATCGGTGACTTTGTTTCACGCTAGTTTTCCCTCCCTCCTATTTATAATAAGTATTTTAACAATTTAATTACGTAATTGGCCAGAAAAAAAACACGTTCAAAGTGGAAAATGCTAATTAGGCCCAAGATTAAAAAAAAACACCTGTGGCGTGGCATCGCAGGCGCCTACATTGTGCGTCAAACTCTCTGTGCCGCCAGCGCGTATCAAGCACCACTAAATTATTGATGGCTCCTGAATAATGCACATATTGGAGGCGCGACATCTATAGTTAATGCGTCTCTGGGGGGCGGCATTTGCCGCACGAGATACGGAGCTGAGCGTGCGGGGCAAAAGCCAACCGCCCAAAGTCATCATCATCAACTAAGTGGTGATCATGATGATCATTGTTACTGAGACCAGGAGCAACAACGTGATGATCACCGTCATCATCATCACCACCCACACGATGATCATCAATCATCATAATCATCATCACCACCACCACCAATGAGACCACCACCACCAGAACCATTATGTATCTATGTATGTGGAACGTCTATCGCACCATCGTACGTATCCAACCGTGATAATCGGAGGGAAGGACAACAAACTAAACACACGCAAAAAAAAACATCCACTGCAAGGGTCAATTGATCACCATCATCACCATCATCACCAACACGAGTACACGCCACTTCATCTCGACGACGACTTCTGCCGCGTAACGCAATGGGGGCAAGTTATCAATTTACATACCGAGGGACCTAATGGGGCATTCGGATACCACCAAGCGGGCCTCAGCGTCGTACACTCACAACGCACACATGAACGCGCAGGCACGAAGAGGGCATGGCAGTAATATAAGTGGCCAAATGAATATCGCAGAGTGCTCGAGCCAGATTGACAATATCACCCCCCCACCCACTCCTCCTCCACCGCGCCCGTTTGTACCCGATTAGTGCCGCTAAGACGCTTCCCAAGTGGCGAGTCGTGTTCAAGTGGGGAGTTCGTACTCGCGTGGCCGTGGACTTTTACCAATCACGAAGTCGCCTGCCACGTCCTGACACGCGGGGGCCATCAGCTTCGCCGCTTCCCGTGCAGGAACGAGCCAGCCAGCGTGCACTCCGCCACATTTACATCCACGATGCAGGTGTTTTTTTTTTTAGTTGGGGTTAGATCGCTTAAATATATAAATGTGTCAGATCTTGACTTAAAGCTTTCGTGCCTGCACGAATTAATATCCGCGGCTCTTTTGGTGAAGTCACGTAGATGGGTTCTTTTCTTTGAACCGATCTGCGTGACTTCACCGAAAGACTCAATAACATAATTATAAACGCGTCGTTCAAACCCGCCACCCCCGACGACACAGCCAATTAGTAAGGTTTGTCACGTAAAACAGAACGTGCCCAATTCGTTACTCACGCAGCACTAACCGGTGTGTTGGACAGCAAAGCTGCAACGTTTACTATCTAAGTGCGACGTTTCGCCAGCAATTACGCTGGTCGCGAAGGCCGTACGTGGTACACTCACATTGGCATCGTTCGCGCCGCGGATGTTGACCGTGACGCGGGCTCTATTTTGGGCACGGCTCCGTCTCTGCGTGACTCATCCGTGGTGCGTAAAAAAAAAACCCTAATTACGGCAACAACAACAACAACAACAACAAGAGAGAAGCCTATTAACACGGCCGCTCAGCGACACGAGAGGCGTTGGGGGTGCTTTTTTTTTGGGGGGGGGGGGGTTAGACTCTCGGCCCGGCGGTTTGACGGGCGCCGTCAAACAGTTGACTCCTGCACATGGACACGTGTTAAATCGCTTTACGATCCCGGCGATGGCCGTAAAAAGGTCGGACCATGAACGTCAGACTGGGATCCGAGGTTTAAGCCACCCGCATTTATGTTTCATTCGTTGCTCTGTCCGGCGTTGGCTGTAGGAGGCGCGGTCGTCGAAACGGAGGGGTGTAGGGGGTCTCGGTATCAAACCGAATCATCCTGCAGCAAGCTCAAGCTCACTGACACACACACACAAAGACAAAGTCCCCCGTATAGCCTTCACCGACTTTCAACCGACCAGTGTAGCCTTTAACAGACTGTTAGGGCAAGTGCTGTTAGCGAGCACAGATGAAGACCGGCAAGGCACACGAGGGGATGGGTGGCCAGCATCACGCCCGGCCGCCTTTGTATCCCCAGTGCTGATGTTTACACCCCGCACCAGGTACCCATTTAAGGCTGAGCCAATCAAGAGGAAAGCCCAGGACCGGTTCAAATATTCACCACTGTTGTTGCTTGTGAGTGGAAATTGGACTCGGGTCACCGGGTTCATTGTGCAGTGCGCTAACCATTGTGCCACCGCTCCCTGCTTACACACAATCCGCTCACCCTTACAATCATTGCCGGTACCCCCCCCCCCCCCCCACCGAGCCCCACATCGTGTACGGCGTAGAAATGAGGGCCTCCCCTCGCCGTGCATGCCTTACTTGACCATACTTCACCAAGCTGGTCAGTGCGGGTTGGTGGATGCGGTGGGGGTTGGCGTTGGGGCGTAGCAAGAGTACAGTACAATAGTTGACTTTGCGGTACCTGCGTGCCCTCCGTGCTGCCGACCACTACATAGCCCTGGCAGCAGCCTATACTACCACTGCTGCTATGCACGCTGGTCGCTCATTCAAGCGCTCTCCGGGCTCAACGCTCGCTTCATATTTTCTAGGTCCACGCAGGGACGAATTGGTCGCTCGCAGGCACGCAGGGAATCCCGTGCAGAGAGCCTCCACCCGCCGCCCCGCCGGCACCGCTCCGTCAGGCGCTCCGTGATGCCCGGAACGATTCCTCCTCATCGCGTGGCGATGCCCAAGCGAGGTTGCCCAACCTCTGGGCGCATGTTGAGTGGTCGGAGCCTCTCTCTGTGGGGGGGGGGGGGGGGGGGGGGGGACATGGGAATGGCTAAAGTCGTGATGGATCTCAGTCCTCAGTCCATGTCTCCGTGTCTCTCCCCCGTGCCTGTGTTTCTTTCTCCGTCAATGAATATGAACAATCTGTAAACCCTGCGTTGCCGCCGTGCAGTGTCCGCTCGCTGTCGCAGAGAGAGGACAATTTAGAGGTGCGAGGATTAACCACGGACGAGCGGTGCAGAGCTGGTGTCAATAAATGTAAAACAAAACTTTGGGTCATGACTTGCTTTGTGTTTTATTGTCAAGGGAGCGCAGGTCAATTCATGACTTGATTTGTGCCGTTTTCTTGTTGTCTGACCCCAGGGCACATATGCCCCGCCCACTTCGTTGTGCCGCAGGGAGCGCTTGTGCCACGCCCATTTTTGAAACCTTTACAAACGGTTGCCTTCGGTGGCTTTCCCTCTCTTTCCTCCTGAAGACGATGGCTTGTGTTGTTATCGAAACGTCGTGGTTTTTAATTTTTTTATTTTTCATTTTTTATTTAATTTTGATTACCGAAAGAACCAGCATAAGTCAACATTATAGACTGCCAGTACGCTCACTAAGGTTAAGAACCAGGCTACAGTCTACATTATAGACTGCCAGTACGCTCACTAAGGTTAAGAACCAGGCTACAGTCTACATTATAGACTGCCAGTACGCTCACTCAGTTTAATAACCATTGCTACAGTCCACATTATACACTGCCAGTACACTCACTCTGATTTAGAACCAGGCTACAGTCTACATTAGTGTTTTTTGTTTATTATTTTAATTTTATAATTTATATTTGTATAAACTTTATTTTTATTATTATTTTTCGATCTGCGTGACTTTACCGAAAGAACCAAAGAATATGAGGTCCTTTTGAAATTCATGTAAGTATTCATGTAAGTACGTAGTCGACCGTGCTAATCGGAGGTGTGGGGTGTTAAGGTGTTCTCAGCCAATCGATGAGCGTTTACACGTGGGAGGAAATAGCAGCGCCCGGAGAAAATCTACGCATGCGAGGGGGAAACACTCCATCCCAGAGTTTTTCCTTGCAAGGCCCACGGGCCTCGAGTGCGGCCCTTGACGTGCGGCCCACCGACAACACACAAATGGTGACAACAACCCCCATCATCATCATCGTCGTGCTGCTGTCAAACCCCCAATGGTTTCAAATGTGTGGCGGCCCTCACACTGATGATGTCTCATCAGTGAAAGTGCCTCCCTACCACCCCCCCAAAAAAAAATTGGTGAAAAACACTGCTCTATCCCATACAGACAGAACAGGCTGGAGCCCCGCACATTGTCGTACTGCTGAAGTCTCGCAACGTCCGTGCGCGGCCCACCAACCCCGGGCGGGGAGGAGCGGCGGCGGTGCGCGTTCTACGCACCGCATGTACTTGTCCCATGCCAGGTCGGCCAGGTATCGGCGCGAGGACGAGGAGGGGGTCGCGTTGGCGCGAGGGGTCGGCGGGGGGGCGGGCGTCCTGGGGTTGTAGCGGCCCGGACCGACGGGGTTCTGATCCGGGAAGCGAACGCGGTGAGGGGGTTGGCGGACAGAGAATTTCGTCAATGTACGCTAATCGATCTCAGCATCACATCACACAAAAAGCAATGATTTAGCGACCACAACTTTCTCTCCAGGGCGCAGAATCTGATGGTGCCCTAAGTGGGTTTTTGCCTGCGCCACGCCTGGCTTCAGGGAGGGCAAGGCACCTGGCTGCCCATGAAGAGGCGGTCCGAGCGGGGGTTGAACCGCGCCGAGCTGCTGAGGAAGGGAGGGCGGGAGGCGCTCCGCACTTCGCGCGCCTCCAGGTTCACGGCGTAGGTGCCAGGCCCGGGCCAGCTCTGCGGGTCTCGCGAGGGAGGGCACGCACACAGGGGAGGCCTGAAACCAGGAGGACTCAAGACCGAAACCAGGAGGACTTCTTCACAATTTGGGCGAATCGCCTGATGAAGCTGGTTGTAATCACGGGCGATATGTCGTACTCGAATTGTAAATGTATGTATGTTTGGACTTATTTCGCACCGTACGTAGCCAACCGTGCTAATCAGAGGTGCGATGTTGTGGGTTTACTCTCCAACACACCGATGTGCCGAACTAGGATCTGATTGGCGCATTTCATTTTACGTGACAAACCTTACTGATTGGCTGTGCCGTGTCGTGGAGGGTTTAACGACACATCGATATATTTACGCAATCTAACCCCCTAAAGAGTTATTCATTATTATGGATAATATTGTTTGGCGAAAGCCTACGTGTTAAACAGACAGGGTAGCTCAGAACTCAGTTGTGGTGGCCCTGAAGGCCACTGCTAGCACATTTCTTGGGGGCACAATGGGGAAAACGTCTTGAGCTGGCGGCTCCTCACTCCTTCCGTCGGATACTCCCACATTCACACAGCCACGCCCATATCCACATAGCCACGCCCATGTTCATATAGCCATGCCTACATACACATAGCCACGCCCACATTCACACAACCACGCCCACACGATTGCTAGCCCTGCCACACGCAGCGAGCGGTCTCCCTATTGGGGCTCTTCGTGATGTCGGCTCCGCCTACTATTCGGGTAGCCCCGCCTACTAATTAGTTGGCTCCACCCTCTTCCCGAATCGTGGATTGAACTACCGAGGCCAGATCATTTATCTGAAAAACGTGGGGGACAAAATCCAAAGTGTTCGATAAATCTTTTGACACGAGGGGGCACACTTTATCAAATCGGAACTGCCCTGGCCAATGCAGGAGGTTCGATAGCTCTGTAGTGAGGACTGTAGCCGGTGATGCAACAAGCTGGGCTGTTACCCAGATGGGTTACCTAAGAGCCCAGTCTACGGAAAACAGAGCTGCAGTCCAATCCGAGCAGAAGCGAGGCCTGTTTGATCCAACACTGAAACTCTTCCAATGCCTATAACTGGTCACAGGGGACCTGTTTGGCCACATTTTAATAAAAAAATGAACTGCACTGGCAGTAGTTTGCAAACAAATATGGACGCCACCTTTGTCATTCATACTGCTTTATAGCAAAAACAAAATATATAATAGGCTGTTCTGAAAAAAGAAAATGGTATGTAACAATAGGCTGTCCTGTCTGCAATTTGTCCATCTTTCTGTATATCCATCTCTATGTCCTGCCTTCCAACTGTCTTTGCATGTCTCTCCGTCCATACATCTATTTGTACGTCCATTCGTTTGTCCGCATCCCTCCATCCGTTCATTCATCAGTTTATCACCAGTCTATCTGTCTGTCTTTGCTTCAATCTGTCTGTACATCCGTTTGTCGGTCAGTCCCTCCATCTGTGTGTGTTTCCAGCCATCAGTCCATCTGTCCGTCCTTCCATATCTCCTTCATTCTGTTTGTCCATTTGTCTTTGCATTTGACTGCCTGTTTGTGCATCCATTCATTCGTCCATCCATCCGTCCAAATGTTTGACAACACATTCGCTTGCCCACGCTTTCACCCACTGCTCCATCAATCGCTCTGCCGGTTCCTTGGGAGGTCCAACGGTGCCGATACGGCATGGCCGATGAACGTTCCGGTCGTGCAGCGGGGTCGTTGGGCGCGACGTGCGACGTTACGCTCCACGTGCCGGCGGAAGCTTCTCTCGCGGAACAACGCGCGGCGCAACCCAACGACGGCGTCGCGTGTGCGCAGATCGTGGTGGGGCCCGGTTACCGGCTCCCGGCGGCAGTGGGCCGGCGCGTCCAGGCACAGGCGCAGGCCGGGCTGCGCGTTGGGGCCGGGCTCCGGGGCGAAGCGGCCGTTCCTCGTCCTGGCGGCCAGCGCCTCGGCCATGGATGGCTGGGGGCAGCCGCGGGGGCCCGGCCACAGCGACTCCTGAGATTGATGGAGAGGAGAGGGGAACGCGGCAGGGAGGGGGGGGGGGGGCGGGAGGAGTTGTGAGCAGGGAGAGGGGGAACGTGGGGAACGAGGGGACCCACGGAGGGAAGGATTTTTGGAAGCGTGCTGGGAGTGGAGAATACGAATGGCACCGATGCGTGTGGCGTGAGGCTCTGCTCGGGGAGTTGAGGCCAGTGGCTGACGGTGCAAGCCATTGGCAATAATGCACTCCCAATGGTGACGACGACGATGATGATGATGGTGCATTAAAATGACGGATAATTCCTGGACTTGCATCACACACCATCTGACACTTTTCAAAAAATGGCGCCCCGCAGTGGCAGCTGTCCCCCATTCGGCACAAGTTGACGCAGCGCCTGGCCTGCAAGCGGGCATCAGTCTGCCATCGGGGTGGGGCGATTATTGTCGCTCTGTGTGACATCCCGATTGGGTAAAAAGCGGGGTCGTTTCTCCAAAGTGCAGAATCGGGTGACCACTGGACGTCTGTGAAAAAGAGCTTGAAAACTCATCGGATTCCTCCAGCATGAATCAATATTCTGATTCTCAGGCGAACCTTTACCATCCACTGTAAGCGAAGCCGACGGCGCTTCGTGCCACTTCACTGTCACCACAAAACCGCAGCATTAACCAGGGCGGCCCGAACGGAATCGAACTGCGAACCTCCGCTGCAAACGAGAAACAGAGCTGCCGCTGGGGTGCCACGTCGCCGGCGGCTTCAGCGGACGACCGAGCGCATCCCCCCCCCCCCCCCGTGGCTCTCACCGGTGCCACGAGCCACCCGGTGCGCAGGGGGTCCGTGCGTCGGCCCGTGAAGAGGTCGTACGGACCGCGCGCGCTCACGACACGCGCGGCCAACTCGTCCGTGAAGCTCCTGTGCTCATGGGTCCCCGGGCCCAATCCGCTGCCCTGCGCGTTCACACAAAGACAAAGATCCCCCCCGTGTAGCCTTTGACAGGCTGTTGGGGCAAGTGGCCAGCAGCGCCTATGAAGGCCGGCACGTCACACGGCGGCGGGGGGGGGGGGGTGGCCAGCACTACCCCCGGCCGCCATTGTCTCCCCAGTGGCGATGTTTACTCATCGCACCAGGTACTCATTTTAGGCGGAGTCGACCTAAGGGAGGCCCAGGACCGGTTCAGGTAATCGTCACCCGTTTTGGCCGTAGCGCAGCGTAGCGCTAACCGCAGCACCACCGCTCCCCCCAACACAAACAAATCCCCAAAGATCTCCGGTATAGCCTTAACAGACAACACACACATACACAAATTAGAGACGTCGAATTGTCTTTAAATAAAAGTACGGGGGCGTTGGGAGGGCGCGCGGCGGTCGAGATGGACGCCGGAACGGCAGCGGAGATGGAGCGATGAGACCGGTTCCCGCTTTGCAGGAGACGCGTGGATTTACCGTCGCATCTCAGAACTCGTGAGAGACAGGCGGCGACTTGGGGAGCGGGGGGGGGGGGAAACGCCTTCATCCAGCGGTGGATAGCTCACGGCTGATGTTGACGGTGGGGCGATAACAACGCGGCACGCAGCGATAGACAGGGGGCCCATGGGGCCCACGTGACCCCACGCACCGTTTCGGGGGTGCTGCGGTTGACGGAGCTGCTCAACTCCATGGGGCCGCGCGAGGCCGGATGGTGGGCCCACGCCGCTCCCGGCCTCTCCGGCCGCACGTAGGAGCCCGGACCAGGAGTCGAACTCTGCGGGATTTTTTTAACCACACGGTTAGCGTCGCCGCGATCGCACGGCTACGCGTTGCGATCGTCGATTTTGTATTTTTTTCTCTCTCTTTTGGCGCAGCCGCAGCCGAAACTGCGATTCCCCATCTCATCTCCTGGCGTTCAGTCGTTGGCAAAGGAAAGGAGGAAGAAGACCTTTAGCCTGGACTTGCAAATACTTACACAGACACTGTAGTCTTGCATAGAGATCCATAAATTGTATAGAGACCCGTAGTATATATATATGAAAATGACTTTCAACCTTCGTAGTTTGAACCGACGAAGGTGGTGGTAGGGTTTTTTTTTAAGTATTTTATTTTCTCAATGCCACGCGGTGTCCCGACAGGTGACATGCGACGAGGGAGACGCGTAACGAGTTGCGATGTAAGCAGCAAGCAGCTGTTGTGACGATAAACAAAGCCACGCTGGAATTCACGACGGGAGTCACCGCTGGCACGGTCATCACATCACGGCGTGTGAGCGGTCGACGGGCTCGCAACGTTATTTACTGCGTCAGCATAACCGCTGCCGTGGACCGCTCCACCTTCGCAAAACTTCGTTCACGTATGAATTCAAGTTGTTTCCTGCCGAACGAGCCTGATGATTGGTAAACAAGACCAACGTGACGCAGAGTGTTGGATTAAAATTAAGGTGCTCTATCCTCAACTTGAATCGGAGCTCTCAGCGTCACGTGGCACACGCGCATACACAAGGTCAACACCATCGCAAGGTCTCCTTCGCGTAAAAAAAAAAAAACGGCCCACGGAAGTGGATACCACAGAGCTACCTCTGAAATTCCTGCAAAGTGAACCTCTGTTTTACAAAGTAGGGAGCAGCACTTTACCACTCATCTTTCCCACCGAGAGTAATGGTCGTCGCATGAGAGTGTAGCCAATATTTGTAATTCTCTAAATTTTTATTTTGCCAAAGTGCAGATTAAAATTCAACGTTACGGGTTTGTTTTTGCGTGTGTGGTCATTGGTGGCTGTGCTGAGACCATCAACTCGCTACATCTGAGGACCAGCTTTAATCAGAGGCGGCTGCCACTTGGATTCAAACTCAGGGTCTCGGTGGTGCAAGCTCAGCGCTCTGCCCTCTTAGGCCCACCACCTACTCCACAACATCAACGTTAATAAAAAGACGCCAGGACACGATCTTCCTTTAGAGTCACACCAAAGTTGCGTGTGCGTACTATGAGTGGAGCGCCGGGCGGATAAAGCGCAGCGAGTTGGCACAGTGGTGGGTGGGGGGTACAGCTGGTGCATGTGCCAGCCATCTCGGTCAGTGAACCCATGGCACCTGCTGCGTCTGTTCCGTGACCTCCTATCAGCGGTGACTTCAACATTTCACGTGGCCTCAAATCGCACCTAGCATTGCACAAGCGCCGTGGTGACATCACCACCACTGAGTGGTGAACGGTGGTTGTTGTTGGTTGTCTCATCGGTTAGGGTTATTATTTTTGGTTATTGTTGTTATTGTGAGGCTGTCGAACTTCGGTAGGGATTCGCTCACCTTGCCGATGTTTAAGAAGCGCTCTTCCAGCGTGTCGCACACCCCCCTCCGACTCGATGGTCTCTCCCGCTCCAGGTCAATGAAGTCCTTTGTGTCATAGATCCCAGGGCCTAGCCTACTTTTCTGAGGGGGGGCGGGGGGCAGGGTAGTGGAGGAATATAGGGGGTGGAGTAGACGAGAAGTTGGAGAGAACAGAGCGAGTCTGTGCGTGGCTGCTTGTGAAAGTGGCAGCAACAACGCCCCGGGGCAACCAGGGAACATTCACCGAGGAGTCTCGGGGGCTCATTTTTCAGGTGGGACTTTCATCCGTCCACGAACCCCTCTGGACGAGTTACCTGGGTTCGCTCCTTCTCCCAGGCCTCGCGGTGCCTGAAGTGAGGTGTCCGAGCCGACCGGGATAGCTCCACCTCGCGTGCCCAGCCCGGCCCGCTAGCCCGGCGAGAAACGGCCCGCACGCCGAATCCTCCGGAGCACTCGGGGTTGTAGCGCCCGGGACCCAGGGCCCTGATCTAGATGAGTTGGGGGGATGTGTCAAGCCAGAGTCGTTTGCCTTCGCCGTCGTCGTCATCATCATCAGCAGCAGCAGAAACAGCGGTAGCATCATTAGCGCCACCTCTGATTAGCACGGTGGGCTGCGTACGGTGCAAAAAAAAACGTTCAAGGCAGTACAAATATATACTCCGTGGCGATGGGAGCAGGGTGGCCACCTCTGCGATTGGCACGGAGAGTCTAGGAATTGGCATCTGCATTCGTGCGACGGCGATCGATTTGCACGGAGACCCGCGCTGTTGTGTCGAGCTTTTATCGCAGGAGATTGCAGAGCGTTGACAAGAGACCGAGTGCCGACGCGACAAACACGTCCGCGTTGTGGGGGGGGGGGGGGGGAGATGACGATCCGACGATGTTATGATTGGGTTGGTTCCCGCTGGAACCACATGAGCCCTGGGAATCCACTCTCTGCCACCGTCCACCTCCTCATCCTCCTCACCTGGTTGCTCATGGTCTGCGAGCAGTAGGGGGCCTCTGTGTAAGTGCCGAGTGGCTTCAGCTGTGGATGAATTCCAGAGACGTTGAACCTTGATCGGCGTTGGGCAGGAGCGAACAAGGGGGGGGGGGGGTGTCGGTCGAGACGGACGGTGAATTAGAACGCGTGATACCTGCATTGGCAGTGGGTGCACAGGCATAACTAACGAAGTGCACACACACATCGTTTTCGATTCGTCTCCCTTCCTTGCGCACCCTACCACTGGAATAAACTTCCCCACTTTAATTAATTCCCCCTCCTTTCGTTCCTCTCTTGAAGTCTCACCTCGTCTCCATCGACCATTCTCTTCCTCTTCCTTCTCCTCGCCACGGCACTCCCTCCCGTCCCTCCCCTAGAGTCCTCTCGTGACCTCCACGTGTGCCCTCTGTTACGGTAACAAATTCCTGGGCCCTTGCACTGCCATATAAAATCACTCGACGTTTTTGTTACCGCTTTTAAACGATGCCATCGAGCGCATTGAGCCGAGACACTCTATAAAAATCAAATAAGATAAGATCGTGAACGTTGCCCTAACAATACAAATAACAATAACGATAAGCGACATTCCAGGAAATTGTATTCAGCAAATCCTGTGAATGGCAATCGATTCGAGTGTGACCATGCTTAGAGTCACACTGAGAGACACACAAAGTGGAAGTAGCGTATATGAGAGAACACAGGGCAGCTCACAAGGACATCGTTCACAACTGATACGAAATTTGGGAATGAGGCTTGGACCGGACGCGTCACGTCCAGAAGGGAGGATGGTGGACACAAATCACGGAGGGAGTGGCAGCCAAGGAACGGAACACGTCCCTGAGAAAACGTCCACCGTGAAGGAGATGGAGCAATGAACTCGGCTCGTGTGCCAGCGCTGGGTGGTTTGTTTGGTGTCGAGCACCTGGCCACGGAAAATCATGGAATGTCAGCACCTGGGCACATGCAAGGCGATACAAAATCAACGCCTGTGCATACACGCGTCTGAGGCGGGCGTCAGTGAGCGGATACAGTCGGAGACCGAGATATGGGTGACATTACATTCGTCCTCATCCCTGATACCTGTGAAACGAGACGTCAGTACCCGGACACAGGTGAGATTTAAATTGCGTCAGTACAGGAATAACAGGTGAGATTTAAGGATGTCACTACGTGGATACAGGTGAGGTTGGTACAGGTAAGATGACGCTACGGCAGCACCCAGATACAGGTGACATTTGAGGGCTTTCAGTACCTCGATCCAGATGAATTTAAGTGACATCAGCACCCGAAGGAAGTCAGTATCTGGATACTGGTGAGATGCGAGGGCATCGGCAACCCAGACGCAGGCGATATGAGGGCGATGTCAGTAACTGGAGAAAGGTGAACGAGTCGTCAGCATCCTGAACACAGATTCGAAAAACACCTCTGTACCTGGCCGTTGCAGAACCGAACGGGGCACCGTGAAACTCCACGCCGGGCATGGCTGCGGCTCTCCACGGGCTCTCGCCAGGGGTTTTACTGCCTCGGGAGAGCGCGAGAGTGCGGGCGGACTGCGCGATTTGTATTTGTTCTCGACTGCGTTTGTTTCCTCTGCGCAATTTTGCCGGCCGGTCGCTGGGCAACACGGAGCCAAAGAAATGCCGGGGGGGGGGGGGTGGTGGGGGGGGCATGCGGCAGTGGCCCAAGGCTGGCACGCGGCGGGGCTCAAGCGAAGGCGAGCGCACACTCTTTCGGCGATTGCAACAGCGGTAAACTACAAACTATTTGTTTTTGTTACCAGCTAAGGCCCCACTGAGCTACGTGCCTCTTTTTTTTTGTTCTTCCAGAAGGGACCTGGGCTATCGCAAATGATAGCTCAACAAAGTGGCTGACCGTGTGGAAATGTATAGCGGCCAAATACTGTAAACGCGTGATGTTGATTATAAATGTGGAGGTAAAAACCCGGAGGACTCGGAGAGAAATCCACGCGACCACAGGGAGAGAGAGACCACACACAGACTCCAAATAGAGAGGCGTCAGGGTGGGGATCGAACCCACTACTTTCTGCATACCAGGCGAGGTAGTTAACATCTCCTAGCCACCTTGGCAAGATGTTAACTCGCCACTGTGGCGAGTTACGTTATCGTGATCGGCCAAGATCTATCCACTGCTGGATGAATATCTTCCGTGGCCATCTCTCTCTTTCATGAATCCTGATGTCACAATCCACCCGGTACAAGCCTGCACGCCAGCTGGTTTATTATAAGGGGCGAGTTTTCTTTCGTGTTTTACCACAGTTGCTGAGCACAGGTCTAAAGGTCCCATCAACAAACAACGCTAATAAAAGCTGCCGAAGATGACTTACAACTTTTCATAAATTGCGCGAGGTTATTCTCACTATCATCGCGATACTCGCTTGGGAACAGAGACTGATGGAAGGGAATTCCCAAGTGGAGCAGTGCGTGGATGGAAGAAGCAGAGAGAGGTGATGTGACCTCCGGTGTGGTGGTTGAACACAGCGTGGAAGAGACGAGTCTGTCTGGTTGTGTCAGATGTGTTATAGCTCATGATACACTCCGTCATCGCATAATTGATGATGGCAAGCTGCTATTTTTGTTTTGTTTTACCAAGTAAGACCCACTGAGCTGTATAGCTCTTTTTCAGAAGCGACCTGGTTATCACAAATGATAGCTCAACGAAGTGGCTTATCATGCGGGAATGTATACCAGCCAAATACAGTGAGGGAAAAAAAGTATTTGATCCCCTGCTGATTTTGTACGTTTGCCCACTGACAAAGAAATGATCAGTCTATAATTTTAATGGTAGGTTTATTTGAACAGTGAGAGACAGGATAACAACAAGAAAATCCAGAAAAACGCATGTCAAAAATGTTATAAATTGATTTGCATTTTAATGAGGGAAATAAGTATTTGACCCCTCTGCAAAACATGACTTAGTACTTGGTGGCAAAACCCTTGCTGGCAATCACAGAGGTCAGACGTTTCTTGTAGTTGGCCACCAGGTTTGCACACATCTCAGGAGGGATTTTGTCCCACTCCTTTTTGCAGATCTTCTCCAAGTCATTAAGGTTTCGAGGCTGACGTTTGGCAACTCGAACCTTCAGCTCCCTCCACAGATTTTCTATGGGATTAAGGTCTGGAGACTGGCTGGCCACTCCAGGACCTTAATGTGCTTCTTCTTGAGCCACTCCTTTGTGCCTTGGCCGTGTGTTTTGGGTCATTGTCATGCTAGAATACCCATCCACGACTCATTTTCAATGCCCTGGCTGAGGGAAGGAGGTTCTCACCCAAGATTTGACGGTACATGGCCCCGTCCATCGTCCCTTTGATGCAGTGAAGTTGTCCTGTCCCCTTAGCAGAAAAACACCCCCAAAGAATGTTTCCACCTCCATGTTTGACGGTGGGGATGGTGTTCTTAAAGTCATAGGCAGCATTCCTCCTCCTCCAAACACGGCGAGTTGAGTTGATGCCAAAGAGCTCCATTTTGGTCTCATCTCACCACAACACTTTCACCCAGTTGTCCTCTGAATCATTCAGATGTTCATTGGCAAACTTCAGACGGGCAAGTATATGTGCTTTCTTGAGCAGGGGCACCTTGCGGGCACTGCAGGATTTCAGTCCTTCACGGCGTAGTGTGTTACCAATTGTATTCTTGGTGACTATGGTCCCAGCTGCCTTGAGATCATTGACAAGATCCTCCCGTGTAGTTCTGGGCTGATTCATCACCGTTCTCATGATCATTGCAACTCCACGAGGTGAGATCTTGCATGGAGCCCCAGCCCGAGGGAGATTGACAGTTATTTTGTGTTTCTTCCGTTTGCGAATAATCGCACCAACTGTTGTCACCTTCTCACAAAGCTGCTTGGCAATGGTCTTGTAGCCCATTCCAGCCTTGTGTAGGTCTACAATCTTGTCCCTGACATCCTTGGAGAGCTCTTTGGTCTTGGCCATGGTGGAGAGTTTAGAATCGGAATGATTGATTGCTTGTGGACAGGTGTCTTTTATACAGGTAACAAGCTGAGATTAGGAGCATTCCCTTTAAGAGTGTGCTCCTAATCTCAGCTCGTTACCTGTATAAGACACCTGGGAGCCAGAAATCTTTCTGATGGAGAGGGGGTCAAATACGTATTTCCCTCATTAAAATGCAAATCAATTCATAACATTTTTGACATGCGTTTTTCTGGATTTTCTTGTTGTTATTCTATCTCTCACCGTTCAAATAAACCTACCATTAAAATTATAGACTGATCATTTCTTTGCCAGTAGGCAAACGTACAAAATCAGCAGGGGATCAAATACTTTTTTCCCTCACTGTACTCTAAACGCGTGATGTTGATTCTGAATGTGGAGGGATAAAAAAAAACAGAGGGCCCGGAGAAAAATCCACACGACCACTGGGAGAAAGACATGCAAACTCCAAATACACAGCAGGTGTCAGTGGTCAGGATCGAACCCACGACCAGCTGTATACCAGGCGAGGTTTGTTAACATCTCGCCACTGCGGTATGCTCCAGTGACCTCGCACACGAAGGCTGTGTCACGGCCCAGCCTGTTGCGGACGATCGCGGTTCGACTCCAAAGGCCGCCCTGGTTATTACTGGGGGCGTCATAACCGTGACAATACTACGCGCCAGCTGCTTCACGGTGGACGTTAAAGATGCCCCGTGTGCATAACTTCTTTCGCACCACACGTAGCCAACTGTGCTAATGCCCTGACATTGGCGACGGTAGGCCATTGTGTGCCCCGGTGTCATGGTCAATAATTGGCAAATTTGGAATTTAAACCGTAAATAACTATTGCGATTATACATATAGCAATCACCGTCTCCGACTGGCAGCAGACTCATGTTCCAGGTCACTCATGCAAAGGAGACTCATCCTGGTTTCGAGTTTTCACCTGGTTAACACAAAATTAACTTGAAACTTAAAAACACAGCACACATGGCATGAAACAATCGTTTAACCTGTTGCGTGTAATAATTATTTTCAACGACCATACATTGTAAGAGGAGTCCCACAATCATTTGCAAAAACTGATTTGGTCAGACAGGTGAGTTGGCCATAGAGCGAGGCTTTTTTAGAACTCTAATTCCCGCACCTCCTGCTCCTCCTCGGGAGATCGGAGGCGGCGGGGCCTGAGACGGACGCGCCCGGGGGTTGACGTCGAAAGGTGGGCCCCGGCAGCTACGAAGTCCAGGCATTAAGTTGACCGTCAACATCCGAACCCAGAGCCGGGATACGTTGCGATCGATACAGGTGACTCGGCCAGCCACATCAGGCGCTACATCCAGCACAATCTCCCCCCCCAAAAAAAGAAAACTTCAGAATCGATTCTTGAGTCGCGTTCTCCGATAAGGCACTCGGGTAGCACGCGGCGGCCGTTCACGCCCCTGTCACTCTCACACCGACACGCAGACAGGCAGCGGACGAGTGTTGAAGAAAACTTTATTGCTGTTCAATTAGGGGGGGGGGGGGGACCTATACAAATTGGGGGTTAACAGACAGGACGCAAACATAAACAATCAATGTATTATCCAACGTTTGTCTTTGGTCTTTTCCAAAGAAGCAGCACTGACGAGTTGCGTGCACGCCAGGCCCATCGGGAAGCCTTTGGGCCGCGCCGCGCCGCTGCCCCAGCCCACGAGAGCCCCCCACCCTGCACGCCTCCCGGCTCTGCTCCTCGCGCGGACCTCGCGTTGTTAATGGACGCGGTTGTTCAGCGTGATCATTAATCGCATGAAGATGGGGGGGGGGGGGGGGGGGGGGGGGAAATCGGTTCGTCGCACACAAATATCGAAATGTTCGACAATAAAAACAAATTCCAGGACTTGTTTACGTTGCGGACGTCACCACCTTGAGGCGGCTGCTGATAAGCCGGGCTGCTGGCATCACCTGTAAGTTGGTGGGCAAACCGCGTTCGTGCCCTCGCGCTGATCGCTCCGGCTAGAACTGAACCAGATTCGGCTATCGATTCCGAAGACGAACGTCGAAGAAAAAGAGAAAAAAACCACGATCGACGATGGAACAACCCCTCAACGCAGAATGGACACGAGCTGACGCTGCCGACCAACCCCCCCCCCTCCCCCACAAGTGCCGAGACAAAAAATAAAACGTCCAAGCTGAAACGGGAACGCTTGGGGCGAGTCGGGGGCCGGCGGTCCGAACGCCACGCGCACCGCCTTCACCCTCACCGTGTGCCATCCTCACCGCCGCGAGTGACGGTCGCGCGGCAAAGGCCCTCGATCCATCGCGCCTACTACGGGCGCGCGGCGACGCGACCCGCCTCCGCTCGTTCGCATCCTGCGAGTCGTTACCCGCTCTACTCGAGACTGCCGCTTCAGTGTTCGGCGCTAAGCAAGATAGCCAAGGCACAGGTGCAAGGCGAAGCAACACGACGTTCGATTACGACGACGTGAAACACGCGGAGGTGGGGGGGGGGGGCGGGGGGGGGCGGCCCGGCCCGGCGCGGCACTCCTCCTCCACAACGCCACGCAGACGGCCTTCGGTCTTGGAAGGCATTTTGACTTTTCGCTTACGCTGGCCGGAGGAGGTGGGCAAGGGAGGTGGACAAAGACGATTGTACAAAAAGCAGCCGTATCGGTGACGCGACGAAGGCTCATCGCAGAGATAGCATTGACCTGATCAACCTGTGCGTCATTTACATCGATTCGTGGGGGGGGGGGGGGCACGTTGCACGCTCGTTGACGGTAACGGTTTTCGCGAATGCCGATGACCTCAGCGTCTCAACTCCGAGTGGGCCATCGCGAGGGGCGGCTTCGATCGAACACGGGATTGGGAGTCCGGTAAACGACGCACAGCAACAGTCCAACGCTCAAAACTATGTCAACGTAGAACCTTTACATTGAGTCACTGTTACGCAGACAGCAAAATTACAGCCGGTAACGAGACGTAGGTCAAACGATTCGCGAGGACTTGGCAACGGGTTTGTTGTTGCACGGATCAACGGGCCACGGGACGTGACTTATCCCGAAGGGTGGATGCCCCTCCCCATTACAGCGGCACAGTTACGAGATGAGCCACGGCCACTTCCAAACAGCAGTTGGCTGAACGAGCAACGTCGTTGTCATCGCCACCGCCGCGTTAAGGTTCATGTGCAGGGACAGTTCACGCTCTGTGGCCCGAGTCATCCATAGCGGTCTGCGAGGCCCGGAGCAAATCACACCGTGTGCCGCCACCCCCTCCCCCCCCCCGATGGCTTGAAACTAAACCGGAAGTATTACATCTGACATCGTGCCGTCGATGCGCGGGGCCTCCCCAAAGTACGGGGCCCAGGGCAGTCGCTTTCCGATTAGCCGTACCCTAGGGACGGCTCCGCCTGTGTCAACTGTTTGCCCGCGGGTCGGAGCAGCCGTTTCTACACGCGACGGAGGTGCCCGCATATCAACAGCTCCTTAGAAGCCTGGACTGGTGGCAAGACTGACCTGCCTCGGCTTGCTAAAGAACATTTAAGACATTCAGCATCAATAGGAATAAATTATAAAATTATTTACAACCTTGACTTTCATTAAATAGATGCACAATTTCTGAGACGGGAAAAAAAAAAAACAATCTTTTAGTTTTAAACCAAATTTAGCATAAAGAGTTTGTACAGCCCTTGCATATGTGCGTTCGAGTTCAGAGCGTGTTTATCAGCATTGAGAAATGTCTCTCTTAATCTGGAGCGAGCACGCACGCGCACGCCCAGACGGGCACCGGATTACAAGTGCGCGCATCCGTCCGTACGTATGTGCTTGTGTGTGTGCGCACGCACGTCCACTTCTTACATTTACTTCACAGCAAATAAACGATTACAGAAGCACGCTGCCGTGGCGAGCGTTTCGCCCCGCCGCCTAAAACAGTTCCTGCTGCAGCGTCGCTCGGTTGCCCATGCCCCCTGCCGCCCTCTGCGTCGTCACGGCCACTTCGCCGGGGCTGGCGCTGCCCCGCAGCAGTACGAAGGGGGTGCTGCTGTTGTTGCTGCTCAGTGAAACGGGCTGCGGGGAGAACAGCGTCTTGCCGTAGCCTGGCACGGCCTTCCTGGTTGCGGACGGTTTCCCGGCACGGTGGTACACCGGCGAGCACGCGCAGTCCCTGTACGCCGGTGACTCGGTGCAGCCGGGCCCCTCGGCGTCCGAGTGCGGGCCGCACCTCTGCCCGTGCGGGCAGCCTCGCCGCTGCTCGTCGCTGTCCTGCCACACGTCGTCTGTCGAGCCGTCCGTCACGTCCTCGTCGTCGTCGTCGTCGTCGTCGTCGTAGCCGCGGAAGCCGTTGCCGTGGAAGCTGGAGGAGCAGTCCGTGGAGCCGTCGTCTCCGGGCTGCGAGTAGCACCCACTGCTCGACGTCTCGCTCTCGTCGCGCGAGCACCGATAGCGCGGCGTCTCGGCGTGGAATCGGGATGGGGCGCAGCCGTCGCCGCCACCGCTCAGCTTCATGCCTGAAAAGCGGCTCTCGCTCAGTACGTAGTCGAGTTCCAGCGGGTCACTGTCACTGCTCGTCGATGCTACCCCCACCGCTGCCGCCGTGCCTCTGTCGCCGGCGCCGCCCTGCCGTGACGACGTCAGTTCCGGGCGAGGGGAGTCGGTGTGGCGGCGGCGGTCTTGATTCGCTCGCCACGTCACCCGGCCGAGTGTGGCGTGAGTCACCGGTGCCCGCACCGGCATGTCTCTCCGCGGCAGCTCCGGCGAGCTGGGAAGAGACCTACACGTCCGCAACGGCATTAGCGTGAAGTCCATGTCCAGCGTGCTGTCCCACTCGTCCTCATCCGCTTGCGGCCGCTGCTGCGTTTTCTGCGGAGTCGACTGCGGTTCCGGCTTCATGCCGTCCACGGCATCTTTCATCGGCTGGTCGAACGCCAGGGGCGCCAGCGTCGGCCGCGTGGGCGTGTCGAAGAACTTGACGCGCCCGCCTTTGAGCTCCTTACGCGACGAGAAGGGGTTCACCTTCCCGCTGTTGGCGCTGCCCGGCGTGTAGTAGGGGTCCATGACGCTCACCACCGCCCCGCCCCGCGTCTTGGAGTGCGGGGAGAAGACGTCCGAGTGGCTGCGGGAGAGCCGCGTGTCCAGGCGCGATCGCGAGCTCTTCCACGCCGACTCGCCGTCGCCCGGCGGAGAGTTCAGCGGCTTGCTGCGCTTGCACCCTGGCCCCTTCTCCCGCGCACCTACGGGAACAATGCAGACGCAGGACGTTGTCACGTTGTGCATCGTCGTCATCGTCAGCTACGATAAATCCACCGTCGGATGAAGGCCTCCCAAAGCTGTCGCCGACTCTCATGGTCTCGCGATGCAACAATCGATTTAGCGCCGTCACACGGGCATATTTCGTCTGTGGTGGACTTCCTCTCGGGCCATGTTCATTAGCTTGGTTGAACCCGGCGACCATCCCTTCGTGCGATGTGTCCTGCCCGAGTCCACTTTCATTACTGGGTGCTGGCGAGCGGGTGGGGGTGCAGGATGGGTGGTACCGTGGATTGGTGGTGATGAGTGGTGGTGCACGGCTGGGGCTGCAGGATGGATGGTGCTGATGGGTGGTGGTGAATTGCTGGGGGTGCAGGATGGGTGGTGCTGATGGGTGGTGGTGAATGGCTGGGGGTGCAGGATGGGTGGTGGTGAATTGCTGGGGGTGCAGGATGGGTGGTACTGTGGGTTGGTGGTGATGCGTGGTGGTGATGCGTGGTGGTGAATGGCTGGGGGTGCAGGATGGGTGGTGGTAAATGGCTGGGAGTGCAGGATGGGTGGTTACTGTGAGTTGGTGGTGATGGGCGGTGGTGACGGGTGGTGGTGATGGGTGGTGGTGATGGGTGGTGGTGAATGGTTGGGGGTGCAGGATGGGTGGTGGTGAATTGCTGGGGTGCAGGATGGTTGGTACTGTGGGTTGGTGGTGATGCGTGGTGGTGATGGGTGGTGGTGATGGGTGGTGGTGAATGGCTGGGGGTGCAGGATGGGTGGTGGTGAATGGCTGGGAGTGCAGGATGGGTGGTTACTGTGAGTTGGTGGTGATGGGTGGTGGTGATGGGTAGTGGTGATGGGTGGTGGTGAATGGCTGGGGGTACAGGATGGGTGGTGGTGAATGGTTGGGGGTGAAGGATGGGTGGTACTGTGGATTGGTGGTTGGTGGTGATGGGTGGAGGTGAATGGGTAGGGGTGCAAGTATGGTACTATGGGTTGGCAGTTGGTGGTGATGTGTGGTGGCGATTAGGGTGGGGTGCTAGAATGGGCGGTGATGTGGGTAGGTGGTTGGTGGCAAAGCGTGGGCGACTCCCACCCCTATCGGGACATCTGGCCAGCGTGGAAGAGTAGAACAAACTACCCTCTAAAGGTGGGCGAAGTTGCGGCCGCTGCCTCGAGCGTGAGGCCGAGTCATACCTGGCTGCCACACGGCCTCGGTGCTGCCCCCCTGGCTGGACGGGGACCCGGTCTCTGTCCTCTCCGTCTCGATGCTCCTGCTCATCTCCTCCAGCGCCCGCTCGACCTCCTCGAAGTTCGGCCGCAGCTTGGGGTCCATCTGTGAGCGAGGCGCCAGGCAAGACGACACGGTGACGACGCCCAATGAGGGGGTGGTTAAGGAAGTGTTAAGAGTCGCGAGCTACGAGAGGAGCCAACGGTGATGCGAAGGTGCACTGCTAGGCGTTGGTTGGAAGCAGTTTTTTTCAGTTCTCGTTCAAATAAAATGTCAGTGGGTGAAAATAGGACAGATGTCTTATTGGTTTTTCTTTAAAAGTCATGCAAAGTGCATATGACTGGAAACCCATCAGATCTCGTTGCATCTTGCAAGCCAAGCTGGTTTGAGCCTGGATCGCACTTGAATGTGTGACTACCATCCATAAAACAAGCATTGTTGGCTGTGTTTACACAGCAAGAGGACAGTGTGGCAAATTTCATTTTGTATTGTGCTACGCTGCGATTGCTCTGTTCACCACTATCAACGACCGCACTCAACGGCATGGTAGAGTAGGTCAAACAATCCACGAACCTATTCACCCATTCACACACCCGTCCACTCATCACTTCGGAATTCCCCACCAACTTGTCTTTTCCTGAGTCCTTAAGATAATAATAATAACCTTGCTCAATTTTGCCAGAAACGTGTCAACTCTTATCCACCACTGCTTTCGACAGCGCTGTTTGTTGCTGGCCGCTCGACATTTTGGGCCTTCGGGCCTGCGCTCAGCAAGAACGTAAAAGCCCCCAACCCCCGCGCCCCCCAATAAGATGGCACCACAACGCAGGCCCTGCCAGGAATGCGTCACGGTTGCCAGTAGCGCGTGCAAACACTGGGCGGCCGGGGGCCGATCCTCGTGACAAGGAGGCACCTGGGCGGGACAGAGTAACGCCGGCTTGCGATTTCACCCACACAGCCGCCCGCCTGCCCACGCGTCTGCGTGCCCACCCGCTCGCCCGCCTGCGACCAGAAGCCTCCCGACCGCCACAGACAACAGCGGCGACGGCGGCGGCTGTGGCGGCCTCCCATGTGTTCCGTATTACGTTTCGCCGTCCTCTTTGCGAACGGATACTCCCCGGCTCGAACGGATGTCGGGGTGATTTGTGCAATAAACGGGGGGGGGGGGGGGCGCGCGCTTTCACTCCCCGCTTTGATGTTTCGTGTCAAGATTTTGAAAGGTGGCTCAGACGACGCCCCACGCTGACGCGCAACAGGGACCACCAGGAGGAAACGGCCCCATTTTTTTTTTACTTACTACAAGGAGGCCACTCACGAAGACGGGCGGGGGAGTGAGATCCGTTTTGGCCACGCGCAAGGGGCCAGCAGGAATAAAAGATTCAAATGACGCTCGCCGCTTGACTTTGCGCGAAAGGACTTAAAATCTCGGTAGGCCTCTGCTCCGCGTGTCGTTCGGCGCGATGTCCGACGTTGCGCCCCCCCCCTTCATGTGCTGGGAGCTACTTCAGAAAAGGGAATGAATATGGTTTTCTGAAAGTTTGGTTTGCGATTGCATTTTCCGAAGAAGCTCCCGGGCACGCGCATGGAAACATCAAAAGACACCCTGGCAAGCACAAAACGCGGTACAACACGGAAACAAGTCGCCGAGCTGCATGCTCGTCCACTGTTCTTTGCTTCTCCATATTTGGGCAATTGCGGCAAAAAGCCGAGTCCACTCTTGATGCTGCGCTTGACACGTGCGCTGCCGCCGCAGCCACGGACGTGCGATCGCGGGCCGCCGTGACCTACTCGACGGCCGCCGCTTTGCGGGGAGTGGCGCGTGGGAGCTGCACGTGCAACGGGCGCGGCTACTCACGTTACAGCAGTTGAAGGCGAGCTGCAGGAAATCGGACGGGCAGTCCCCGACCATGTGCTGGAAAGTCTCGTAATCCAGGCCAAAATTCTGCAGAAAAACGACGCAAACAAAAAAAACAGAGAGAAGCGCGCTAATTGTCGGCTTGTTCGGCACGTCGTGGCACAGTTTCAAATTTCGGCGGAAACCAGGAGGTCGACCGCGGGGGGGGGGGGGGTGGGGGAAGGGGGGGCCAGGTGCCGCGCGCCGTTAAGAGGCGCGTAAGGCGCCGCTCGAGCGCTCGGTTATCTGGTTCCAGGAGTGCCGGAGGAAGTGGTTTGAAAGCCGCGAGCGAGCGAGATTGATCCGGCCCGTACGCTCGTCGAGCCTGCGCTCCGGGGAGAACGTGTGGGCAAATGTTGCAACTTGCCCGAAACCACAGCGCGTGTGTTGCGACAACGCATGCGGTTGATAAGCGAACGATAAAGGTGCGTGTGTGAACCAATGTCACGGGACCTCTTCTCAAATATGAAGAAGGGTTTACAGTGACCTCGACGTTGTGAGCGTCATGGAGAAGAACTGGACCAAATGCAAGATGGGGTTGTCAAAATCTTGGCGCGTGCACACACACGACCACGCCCCACGGTGGATCGACATTCGCTCCGTCTGGTGGATTGACATTCAGAGCAGGGAATATGAAGGCATGTTTATTTACATTCAAAAACAAACCGTATGTGTCGTAGCATTTTCATTTCATTTACAGCCCATTGCCAAAACACCGTTGGACGAAGGCCTCCCCAAATCCGTGTTGATCATAGGGGTTTGTGTGACCATACTTCACCACATACCGATCGGTGCGGGCTGGTTACGGAGGGAGTGGGGGGGGGGGGATGGGTGGGACAGGGGAGACCCAGAACAAGTTCAGACATCACTTACCACTGACGGAGGTCACTCTGGCCAATGAGACTCTCCTGCTCTCTAAGAGGTTTCACAGTGGCTACACAAAACAGACTTGTTAGCCGTGGCCAGGGGAATCGGGCTCGGGTGGCTGCGTTCAGGCCTCAGTCCGGGCCAACGCCTGCGCCGCCACTGAACCCCCACGCCGCGCACCTCGTGAACGGCGAACACAAAAAGCACTGTGCAGCCACCGAGCTCAATTACAGATCCGCTCAACAGTAACCGAAGCATTAAACGACGAGCTGCCATTATGTCCAATATGATATTACGGCCTAGAAGATGAGCGGTCATTGCCGTTTAACATGCCACTGCAACCGAGAGCTCGACGCGCGTGAAATTAGAAAAGTCCAGCGAAGCCGATAAAAGTGTAATTGCCCTAATTAAAATGAAAAGTGACGAACGCATTTAAGCGGCAAACTGGTCGACAGTGAAAAAGGGCTGATTCCGACGCTTCTCGTTTGAGAGCACCCCCCCCCCCACTCCCTCGTGAAAAACAAACTCTAATTACCTCTGCCACTTTCCCCAGGGAGTCCATAAATTATTAGCATTAAGCAAAGTCTGACACGTGAGCGCTGCGACCTTGCGTCACCATCACAAACCCCCAGGCCCCTCCGCTGTGTTTTCAAGACCACTCGGGAAAAAAAATCGAGCTCTCCAGCACAAGCTACGCACTTCTATTTACCATGGTTCTCCTTTACCATACCACGGTGGTGCAATGGCGAATACACTGGACTTGCAATCCACAGCTCGCCGGGACGATTCACTTGATACCACGGGGCAAGTTTTTTTTTTATTCCCCGGCATCTGCCTCTGTCCACCCTGCAGCAGTGTAAATGGGTCAACCACAGTTAGTCGATAGGCAAGGCTGGCCAGTGTGGAAGACTATGCCTACATTCCTTTTTAAGAGGCTCTCTCGAGCTCCCTCTACTAGTGAAAGGCCGTTCTTTTAGCAGGAGCGCGACCAAAAGCGATTACGGCGCAGCTCCTTTACCCATCACCGACAAACAACTCTGGCGCTCAGCTGGGCTGCGTTAAGAACGGCCCGGGCCCGCTGCGATTGTGCAACGCAAACAACCCGAGCCAACGCGACGGGGCCGATCGGCGTTACCACTCGACACACACGCGGAGCCCGGAGCCGCGGTCGAGTCGGCACAGCAGCAGCCCCCGGCAGGAGGTCCGCGCCGCGGCCAAAACCCGCCACTCGCAGCGCTCCATAGATTTTTAGAAAACATCTCAAGTCGTGGCTGGAGATCAAAGGGAGGGGCGGTCTCGAGGGCCCGGCCTCTGACAAAAAGTGGTGGTGGCTGCGGCGGCAGCGGCTTTGTGGGAGGAGCGCTGGAGTGGACACAGCGTGGGTCCTTGTCAATGGGGCCCAAGTAGATCCATCACGCCAGGGGGAAGGGCAGAAGGGAGCTGTGCCAGGGCCCCCTCTGGTAACCTTGGGTTCATCTTGGTGGGGGTGTTGGGGGGGGGGAACAATGGTACCATTGTGCGCTCTTGAAACACCCGGGGGCAGTGGTGTTGTTAGCTCGACCACTATTTACATATTGGAATATCGGTGGTATCTGGGAAAGCATTTCCAAAATCTGTATCGTGAAGAGAATAATTTATTTTTACACGGTGAGCCAGACGAAATTGAAAGACGAAGCTTATCTTACATCCAGATTATATCCGTACTGCTTTTGTGTAAACTGGTGACGAAAAATGTAAACACACAAAGCTGGCATTGGGACATCTATAATCAGAAACAATCACCCACAGTTTTCCAAAGCAAATTGACAACCCACTGCAAATGCCGAGTTTAAAAAAACAATCCCCACCCCACCACCACTTGGGAAAATCCGATTGCACAGTTCCCCAGCCAGCTCTCCGTAATACAAAATAAACGGTAAACATCCCGTGCACGTCGGAATTGGGCAAAAATAAAACGCAAACCCCCCGACGTAAAGCGGCGGTGACTCCGACACGGGTTACCCCGTCTCACGGGCGACGAGCTGATAGGAGCCAGGAGCCGCGGATCGTCCATGCTCAGCCGCGCTGACGCCCTTAGGCGGACGGGCGCGTACGATACGCGGTTCCCGGGTCCTATCAGCGCCAGACGCCCCGTGGCTCTCCGTTTTTGTCTGCGCAAGAAACGCTTTGCTCCCGGTCACGGATGAGCTTAACTACATACACGCGGCGCAGGCAACGCCTGCCCGCCAACCCCCACACACGCTTACCCCAGCCCCGTGAATACAGTATCTCGTGAGATCACACGGCTTGCCCCGTGATGGAGGCGTGTGTGTTTTACACTGTACCGGTGGTGGTGCTGTTTTAAATTCAACTCGCCCTTATTTGGAATAATGGCAAGGCCTGTGCCAGACAGCCAACCGAGACTTCACCGCAATGCCATATAAAGCCCTATAAATAATTTTTTAAAAAATATATAAAACCTTCTCTTGTTCTGACTACATTGGGCAAGCTGAAGCCCAGAGTCTATATTGTTCAAAGCGTGCGTTTTTAAATGTTGCTCGTCAGCAGCGCTGGAGTGACTGCTGCTGCTTGATCTGATAAAGGCATCACGCTGCAATCCACGTCAGCAACACCCAGGCTGAATGTCAAAGCAAGTTGTGTCGCACCATCCGACCAGAAAAGAAAGGGACCCGTCCTTGCCTGCTGCAGTTCCATCACCCGCCTGACTCACTGCCAGCGTCTCCAGCCGACCTGCTGAAACCGGTACTAAGGGCTGCCTGGGCCAGATCGGAGAGGCTGTAAGAACCCAACTCCGTAACGCAGACGCCCACAGGCGCTCGATTGCTCGGGCTGCCGCTCGATTGCTCGGGCTGCCGCTCGATTGCTCGGGCTGCCGCAAACACTTGGCAAGTCGCAGCCAATTCCCCCATGCAGCTCCGACACGCTTTTCATCCGTCGGGCTGTTTTCTTTACTTCCGAGCGGCGTGAACAAGCGCTTTCAACGCGGCGACCCGGCACAGCGAGCCCACACGCACGCAAAAATCACGTTCTCTGTCAAACCGTCGCCCTCCGGCGCAGGAGGGGGAGCCTCCTCGGGGAGCACGGATGCCCGTGGACTTGAACTCAGACCATCCCCCTACTCTCGCCACTGTTCGCGCCGCAGCACGTACGACCCGTCGGCCGCGCCATTCTCTCGGCGCGTCAACGTCTCACTCCTAATTGAGTTAAACGCGCCGCCGTTTCATGTGTCAAGTCGGCCGTGGCTCGGCGTAAGCCATGGAGGAAACGTCCGCACGCCAACCCTGGTACCGTTGCAGCCGTCGGACGACTGCGCACGCCCGGGGTCTCGCCTCCTCCGGCGGTCCGCGGTCGTGGGTGACCTTTGATGCGTTCGAAAAAAATAACTTGCTGGACGTACAAATGTGCTCGTTTGCGGATTGCCCGCTTTCGGTTCACGCAAGGGGAGCAGCTTCGCGGTGCGGTGCCCATCATCGTGTTGCGTGCAGCCATCTCTCCTGCGGGCACGTAGCTCGCTCTCCTCAAATGCAGTTGTTTTTTTAGCCTTTTGTTTTATTTGCTTTCCTGCCCCAAGTAATTCGCATTTCATTGCTTTTGTCACTTTGGTCACTCTTCCAAATGAGACTCATTCTGGTCTCTAGAAGCTCTCACCTGGTTCAAAATAAACTCCAACCTGAACTTTCTCTCGTTGTCCCTGGCCGCCAGCTTCTCCGAGCGAGAAAACCTCGTGGGTGGAGGAGATGGAGGCCGAGGGGGCGGCCAGAGGCCTCTTGACTGCGTCAGATCGACCGCTACAGTTGCGACGTGGCGACAGGAAGAGGGCTCGCCTGGGCGCTTTACCAGGAGGGACCCCTAGGAAGGGGCTCGCCATGGGGGCTTTGCCAGGAGGGACCCCTAGGGGTTGGCATCAGATAGTGGATGCCCCCACGCGCCGTGTTGGCGCACGCTCTCACAACTTTGCTATTCCCACCCGTGCCACCGGTGATACACAAGCTCCGGAGACCGCCGCCGCGGGAGCCGCTATGTCCTGAATTCACCTCGAGCGGCATTCTCGCACTAACGAAGCAATCAATGAGCGCACGTCACTTCCTCGGCTCTCGCCCGTCACTCACTGTGCAAGTACGTGCATTTAACATTTTATATTCCTTATCCTCCAGCGTCCCTATCCAGTTCCCCGAGAGCAC